CTTGTTTGAGGGAGCTGATGGAGGCTACGAAATCACGGACTGATGGTGACCTGGCTTTGTTGTACTGGACTGCAAGTATCAACATTTGTTGAGTTTTCAGTGTGGATCTTTTTACTTTTTGGCTTATTTAGTATCAGTTGGCTTGTGTTAGCTCCTCGTTAGCGTGAGCAACAGCAGGGTGCTACAGGGTTGTTTATGACAGTTGCAATTCCACTTTCAACCAATAGGGGGATAACCGGGAAACTTAAATGTTGCTTTAAATTTGTGAAAGGTTTAGCAGGTGTCTGCAACAGAAAGCAATACGTCCTTTATTAAGCCTCAGCAGTAAATACACTAACTACATTTTGTGTTTTATTTCTTTAGATTTACATGTTGGACTCTGCTGGAAGCTCACGGCTTCCCCACTCAAATCTGGCCTCGCTGCAGACTGAATGGCAGGTTAGTTCTATACAGGTCTGTGCCCCCTTTCTTGCTGGTTCAGCCTCTGTGCATTAAGCAAACTGAGTTAAGGTGGATTTTATTTGTGTCTCCATGCTGGTAGAAAGAGCAACTAAAAGCTGTCAGAGCAGGTGTTCCTCTTTCCACTATCTCTCTTCTGTGAGGAGCTATTCTCCAAACATCACTGACTCACCAGGCGCACTCTGAAATACCCAGTTACTTTATTGAGTGAAGGGGATAAAATATTAATAAAACCTGTTATCTAACAATTCAGGCTGGTTCTGATCTCAGCTCTTAACAAAAGCATGAATGAAAAAGAATGAGAAAATTACAAGGGATTCAATTCCAAACTTCCTTTTTTTATTAAATGCAAAGTTGTCTCATATTTGTAACTGGAATGGTAGTTTTCTCGAACATGCAAATATTTTCTATGTGAAGAAATGTTTTTAGCATATATATAATTTTATTCATTTGTTGGTTGCAGTCTGGGATTATTTATTAGATCAAATATCAGTTACTAAGGTATAGCGATGGGTACAGAATTCTGTACTTTTTAAGGTACCAACCGAATTCCATAGTACCGACTGAGCACCGATTCACATCATTTCAAACGGTGCCTCGTTTCAGTACCCGTCCTTCATAACGAGAACTTGCCTAGACAGCTGCGCATGCGCAAGAGCGTTATGTCATCGGTCGCTGCGAGCCAGTTGTAAACAGAGCAGCATGGTAGAAAGAACGAACGCTAAAGCTTGGGTCCACTTCACTAAATGTGATGGGTAACTGGGTGATGATGAAACCAGCGACAACGATCTAAGTGAGACATCCTCATCTTAATCTGCTCCGGTAGGTAAATAAAATGTTTAAGATAACGTTACCTGATATGTTAGCTTCTGTTTCGCTAATGGTGCATTCGCTTTCTCCTCGGAACTCCGAATTTCCGACTAGAAGAACATGAACGCGCTCTAAAGTTTGGCTTCACTTTACTAAATGCGACGGGTGATTGGGTGAAGATGAAACCAGTGACAACGATTTAAGTGTGAGGCATCGTCGTTTTAATCTGCTCCAGCAGTTAAAAAAACTGTTAAAGATAACGTTAGCTTGATATGTTAGCTTCCATTGCCACCGTTATCAGCCAATGGTGCGTTTGCTTTTTCCTCGGAAATTCTAACTTTCCAGTAGGAAAAATCAAATGAAAAAGGATGGCAAAGGGAATGAAGATACACAGTAAATTTAGTTCACAGTAAAGATGTTTGCTTCAGTTTAATTATCAGCTTATATAACTACAAGGACGATGTTAAAATACAAACAGTTGTATGTTATTTATTGTGATATTTATCAAATATGGTTATATATTGAGAAAAATATATATTTAATTATAAAAGAGAATTAAAATATTAAACACTCAAAAGTATCGAAAATTGGTACCGTTAAGTACCAGTATCGATTCCTAGGTACCGGGAATTAGTACTGAATCGATTCAAATGTCAAAGGTACCCATCCCTACTAAGGTAATTAGTTTTCTTTGTATAAGTCATCGATGTTTCCTACGAAGAACTACAACCTCGAGCACATCTGGCTAAACAAACACACTGTGTACCCCTGGAGTTTGTCCGGACCGACCAAATAGTTTTACGTCAATGTGCCAACGTTCAGCCAATCATATAGTGTCATGTCATCGGCAGGCGTCGGGCCCCCAGCAGACCTTTTGGCCTTCTCATTGCAAGGCAATAGCGCTACCAACTGCACCACTACTAATCTTAGTTGACCTAGATTTAACAGAAAAAATAAACAATACAAATGTGGGAAAAAAAAATATATACACACATTTTAGAAGGATCCACCTCAGTAAAGGAACAAAATGTACCATGTGCCTAACATCTAAGGCTAATCTAAGTATAAAGCTTTATTATTTCCAATGGTGGCTCCTCCATGGGGCTCTAGGATGTCGTCCTCCCTGACGCGAATAGAAAAACAATCTAAAAAGTAAAAAATTAAGAAACAACATACACTATGAGTGTGTCAGTTTTAACTGCATTGGTGGTTCATTTTTAAAACACAGAAAAGGTTTCTTTTTACTTTGCTGACAGTTTCGTTCGCGGCTGCAAACTTCCTCAGAGCTGACGCTGATGGTGGCGTCACTTCCTACTGTGTTTATCCGCGGGCAGCAGAGGACGTTGTCGCCCTCTGCTGCCCGCTCTCCCCTCTCCGATCATGCAGTCCCATGCGGGATCCAATGAGTAAACTCCATCATCTCTGTTCATGGTCCCACATCCACGTCTCCTTATCTCTATAGCTTCCTTTATCCATCTTTTGTATTTCTGTTGTTCAGTGTTTATGATCTTTGTGTTGTCCCAGTCCATTATATGGTTTTCTCTTGTGCAGTGGTCTTATGGCTGACTTCTTTATTGTGCTTTCTGCTTCTTCTTTTGCTGCTCTTGTGTGTTTTCGACTTGTTTCTTTCTCGCACTCCTTTCTATGTTCTATTGTTCGTGTGTTGAGTTGGCGTCCGGTTTCTCCTGTGTATGTTTTATTGCAGAGTTTGCATGGGATTTCGTAAACGACTCCACACTTATGTCCAGCTGCTATCTCTTCTTTTGGGTGTACTAGTCTGTTTCTAACTGTTGTGTATGGTTTTGTTGGTGTGTTTATGTTGTGTATTTTCATTGTTGCTGTTATTTTTTCTGTTATGCCTTTGATGTATGGTAGGGTTATCACTGGTTTTGGTTCTTGTCTTTCTGAGTTTCTGGTTCTTTGCTTTGGTTGTTCTTTTCTTTCTGTTGTTGTTTGTTGTTTTCCTTTGTTTATTGCCCATGTCGGGTATCCGCAGGTCTTCAAAGCATGTTGTATGTGTTTGTCCTCTTGTTTGCGGTCTCTCTCTTCTGTTATCGTATTTGCTCGGTGATATAATGTTCTGATTACTGACATTTTGTGTATGGTGGGGTGTTCTGATGTCCATAATAAGAATTGGTCTGTGTGTGTTGGTTTCCTATATGGTCTCCGTTCATATCTCTCTGGCCATTCTCAGTTTATTCAACTCAAATCCTTCACTTCCTGTCCCTTCCCTGTCACTACTGGCGTCCCCCAAGGCTCTGTTCTCGGTCCACTCCTTTTCATCACTTACCTTCTTCCCCTGGGAAATATTTTCCGTAAATTTGACATCCATTTTCATTGTTACGCGGATGACACCCAGCTCTATGTATCCTCCAAATCCTCCTCTTCACTTCCTCCTTCCTCCCTCACCAATTGTTTATCTGAAATCAAAGACTGGTTCACATCAAACTTTCTCAAACTTAACAGAGATAAAACAGAAATGTTACTTGTCAGCACTAAATCTTTACTATCCAAAATCCACAGCTTTACACTTCCTGTCGACAACTCCTTAGTTTCCCCCTCCCCTCAGGTCAAGAGTCTGGGTGTCATCCTTGACTCCTCACTAACCTTCCAGTCCCACATAAACAATATTACCCGGTCTGCCTACTTCCATCTACGTAACATTAACCGCCTACGCCCCTCCCTCACTACTCACTCGGTTGCCATCCTTGTCCACAGCCTCATCACTTCCCGTATTGACTACTGCAACACTCTTCTCTTCGGTCTTCCTCACAAATCCCTCCATAAACTCCAACTTCTCCAGAACTCGGCAGCCCGCATCTTTTCCAGAACTCCCTCCTTCCACCACATCACCCCTGTTCTTCAGCAGCTCCACTGGCTCCCAGTCACTTCCAGAATCCAATTCAAAATTTTGCTATATACATTCAAAGCCATCCATAACCTAGCTCCACCGTACCTCTCAGACCTCCTTCATCCTTCAATCTCCCCCGTTCCCTCAGGTCCTCTTCCTCCATCCACCTCTCTGTCCCACCTTTCCGTCTGGTCACTATGGGGAGCAGAGCCTTCAGTCGCTCTGCTCCCCAGCTCTGGAACTCCCTCCCTCCTGACCTCCGTAACATTGATTCCCTCACTCTCTTTAAAACCAGACTCAAAACCCACCTGTTCCGTCTAGCATTCCAATAGTTACTCTCTTTGCTCCAATCTGTCTGTTTTATGCTGTTTAATCTTTTATTGTTCTGTATTTTATTGCTGTCTGTAAAGTGTCCTTGAGTGTTCAGAAAGGCGCTGTTGAAATAAAATGTATTATTATTATTATATGTGTTTATGTTTAGGGTCCCGTCGGTCTGCCTGCTTATTTTCATGTCCATAAATGCTATACTGCCTTCTGTTTCTGACTCATATGTGAACTTTATGTTGCCTGTGTCATCAATGTTATTCAAGTGTTGTGTTAGTGTTTCTGTTTGTCCTTTTTGTATGATTTCCAGTATGTCGTCTACGTAGTGTTTCCATAATTTTATTTGGCAGTTTGGGGGAGGGGGCGGTGGCTATGGCTTTTTGTTCTAGGTCTTCCATGAAAAACTCACACAGGGTGGCTGATAACGGGTTACCCATGGCGAAGCCTTCCAGTTGTTTGTAAATTGTGTCATTGTATGTGAAGTAAGTGGAGTTAGCTAGTGAGTGAGTGTTTGTCTAACAAAAGCAGCTCAGGATGCTCAATGCTGCAGTTAAGAACAGATCCCACACACATTATGTACATATGGTATTTTATTATGATATCCAAAACAATAGAATGCATCGTCTATTTTGCTTCGTCTTTGTGACCCAGAACAACATCATAGAGCCTTCCAGTGAGGCGGTGCTGGATGTTGGTGAAACCAGCACCAGCCAGCAGAGTGGTGTACTGAGCGGCTGTCCTCTCTCTGCCCTCCGCCTGCACCAGCATGTTGAGGGAGTAGAGCTGAACCGTCAGAGGGCCAGAACCATCCTCATTAAGCAGCGCCTCCACCAGCAGCACACTGCCTCCTTCAGAAGGAACAACAAAAACACTTTTTTTCAATTTTATTTTTTCAAACATAGCTCAGCTTGCTACCTCACTCAGTCAGTTTGATTCCAATGAAAAATTCTTATGTGAATGTTTAATCTAATCTGTAATAACTGTTTTTGATTATGCAGCACAATGAGTTTGGGATCATTTAAATGTTAGTTGCTGCTTAGTATAAATGGGCATCTCTGCATTCTGCATCAGTTTGTTTCATCTTCTCTCCTCCATTGATGTTATCTGTTGGTTTTGTGTCTGTCGGTCTGACTTTGATCAAAGCCAGAAAGACAAACTCACTGGGATCAGCTGCATTGTGGGATACAATCTGCCAGCTGATTTTAGCAGAAGGAAGGAAAAACCTCAAACATACACACACACAGACAAACACACACACACACACACACACACACACACACACACACACACACACACCTGGTTTGCAGGCTTTATAGATTCTAGAGAGCAGCTCTATGCAGCGTTCATCTGTCCAGTCATGGAGGATCCTTGCAAGCATATAGAGGTCAGCCGCTGGGAGAGGGTCTTTGAAGAAGTCCCCTGAAGTAAACACAAACAAAAGTGCAAAATGTCTTAGAAATTGCATGAATACCATGAAAAAAATTCCAGTAGAATAAATTTCTGTATATTTTTTTTAATTCTCCTTCAGGCAGATCCTAAAAAGGAATGTGATGTTCAGTAGAAACAACTGACCCGTTATTTAAAAGGGTGTGTTGTTGTGAGTGTAACCTGATGTTTCTCTGCCTTAACATGGTTCGCAGCCTTAACTTTATCAGATTTAACTATTTCATGTAATTATTACTTCTGTTGACAAGCCTTCAACTAATGACACGTCTCGATTAATGGTTTTACACGCTAAAACGTAATTACCACAAATGGATGCTGTGTGTTGCAATCAAATTACTCTAAACGCACCACGTGACCCACATTGATTACAGCGAATTTCCAGCCTCTGTCAAACATTCAGTGCTGATCTAGTTTATTGGAATAAATGCATTCAGTAGCCGGTCTTTCGCTAAACCCCCAAATTTAAATTTGAGCGTATTTTTTTGTTTCTGTTTTTTTTATGTTCAGAAGTATAAACTAGAAAAACACACAGACGCTTTAAAACGGCCACGTTGCAGCACCCGTTGCATGTGAACAGCAGGAGAGGCAGGAATTGACGTTCACTGCAGGTTTTTGAGATTACCTGCTGCTGGGAGCCTTTTTCTCACATCAGCTGCTGCAGAGGCAGCACGGCAAAGGAAGTGTTGAGTACAAATGGACAGTTTTGTACTCAACGATCTCGGTCCAGCAGAATTCACTCAGTGGAAAAATTTAATTAAGTGCTGATTTTATCAAACACGTGTTTTTGTGCTCAAGATTATGGATACATTGCTTTATTTAGAACATGCAAACAGACGTGATGCAAATGAAAATGTAAAAGTGATTGAATCCCTTTACAAGATTAATTATAGAGAGCATCTGGAGCCCAATATTTATGTTTTATCCAAATTTTGCTGTTTGATCAAACTCTTAAAGGGGAGATATTTAGCAAAACTAATATTTTGTATCATTTTCTGCAACTTTGTGGGTCTCTACTGCCTCTATAAACACTCCAAACATGAAAAAAAACCATCCGCCTGTTCTCTGTCAATTGTTGGTTTTAGGAATTATGTGCTTAAAACAAGTTGTTTCAAAAAGTCCCTGTTTTTGATGTCACAATTGGGGAAAGTAGCATAGAACTACCTCTCTCGTGCAAGAGAGAATGGCTGCTGGAGGAGCAGAGGCTCTCCTCCAAACCGCTCCTGCATATCAGAGCTTCTCAGCTTATAGCAGCTTGAGCGAGGGATGGGTGGGTGTGGCCAGCTCCAGCATGTTTTCTTAAAGTAACAGAGCCCTGACACTAATCATTGTGGAAGGTGCTGAAACCGTCAAAAATAAAACGGCTGAAATTGTTTCATGTGAGATGGGTTTGGTGCAAAGAACTTCATGAACATGTTTTGTATCGACCATAAGAATATAATAACTAAAAAAGTCTTAATATGTCCCCTTTAAAGGACAACGCTTAAGACAATTAAAAACTTCATAATTAATAAATCTTACGAAAACATCTACACAGCATGACATCTACCAGCATAATGTGTTTTTGATGGAAATGCCAGTTGGATTTGTCCAAAGGACATAAAATCCTTCAAGCTTTCAAACCGAATCCATGTTTTTACCTTCTCTGTAAGACAGCTGGAAATAAATAGAAAGTGATAGGGAATTTATCAAAATCCAATAAGTCTAAATAAACTACATAGTATTTGTTTTGCAAATTCCTTCTGCAATTAGTTAAATAGTTAATTTATTCCTGCAATCCCTATTTCTTAAGCTAATATGTAGTTGTTTATTTTAGCTGTAATTAAAAATGAGAATGTCTAATAATGCAATCAGGGCTGTGAATGAGCTGTTTCTCCCCTCCCTGAAAACAATCATCAGGTGATCTAGGTGGGCTGTCCTCTCACCTGAAGCAAAGCTTAAAAAGCAACTGCAAGCACTTTCAAACAGACTTGAATCTGCACCGAAGGGCCTTGAGTGTCTGTTAGTGCTTGTTTTTGTCTTCTTAAACTTTTGCTTTGCACTACCTTCCATTGGGAAAGAGAAGGAAGCTCATCTGTGGGTAATCCTGTTGTCCAGTAGCACAGCATAAGTTTGGTGGCATAACTGAAGCATCAGCGGAAGCGTGAGCCCTTGTGTTTCAGCCCCTCCAGTGTGAAGACACTCTGGGGTGAAGACATACGTGTCTACCTGCGCGTGTCCACAGAGCAAACAAACTCGACCCAGATGCTGCTCCATCGACACCTTGCAAAATGTGCCATTATCCTATACCTGTGATCACTGGCTTCAGAGGAAGGTCACACACAGCAAACCGCTTTCGCAACCTTCATAACCTCTGCTCGCTAAAACCAACTCCCTCCGAAGACACGCACCTGTCTATGGGACTGTGGAACTGCCAATCAGCTGTAAACAAAAACCAGACTTCATTACCGCAAACCACCTGTCACTCGATGCACTGGCTCTCACTGAGACCTGGATCAAACCATGTGACAATGCTACCCCATCTGCTCTCTCAGTTAACCACACTTTCTCCCACACTTCACGTGCATTTGGCCGACGTGGTGGAACGGGCATGTTAATTTCCAACAAATGGATATACAGTCAGTTGCTACCCATCACTAAAAACAACTCCTTTGAATACCATACCATCCAGGTAACTGTAGCAAAGAAATTCTTTTTGGTTGTCATATATCGCCAACCGGGTCACCTCAGAGACTTTCTTGATGAACTCGACACCCTGCTCTCTTCCATTCCTGAGCACAACTGTCCCACAATGGTCCTTGGAGACATGAATATTCACCTGGACAATCCCAGCTCATCAGGCTTCCTGTCACTAATGTCATCATTCGATCTAAACTAGTACAAAGTCCTCCAACTCACAAAGCTGGAAAAGCACTTGACCTCATTTTCACCAGACACTGTGCCATGGACACAATCTCTGTCACACCGCTGCATCTTTCCGATCATTACTTCATCCATTTCAGCATGACTCTACAAGGGAGGTCCACTGCTTCCTCCCCAATGGTCTCAGTCCGCCGCAACCTCAGTAATCTGGCACCCAACCACTTCTCCTCTTGTTGCCTCCACTCTTCCATCTCCCAGCACATTCTCTGCTTATGAAGTGAATGAAGCCACTGAGTCACTCTGCTCCACACTCTGCTCTTGTCTTAACAACTTGTGCCCTTTAGACACTAGACCTGCTAGATCCTCTCAGTCGCACCCTTGGCTAAATGATACCCTCTGGTCTCTACGCGCCAATCTTAGAGCTGCGGAACGGAAATGGCGCAAAACAAAAGATCCTGGTGATCAACTGAAATTTCATGAATTACTGTCCTCATTCTCTGCCAGCATCACTGATGCAAAGAAAGCTTTCTACACTGACAAAATTCTCAGCTCTACTGACTCTCAGAAACTATTTTCAACATTCAAAACTCTGCTCAACCCTCCGTCTCCACCTCCTACCAACAATCTATCAGCTGACAACTTTGCCTATTTCTTCACTGACAAAGTGGCAGCTATAAGCAAACAGTTTACTCAACTGGCCACTCTCGAACATTTGCTACCACAAACTCCTTCTAGCCCAACTATCTCAAGCCCTACTGCTTCATTTTCCTCTTTTTCCCCTCTCACTGAGAACTGTGTGTTCAAGCTTTTCATGTGCAGCCACCCTACTACATGCCCACTCGACCCCATTCCGACTAAGCTGCTCCAAGCTATTGCTCCTACAGTAGCCACAGCAGTCACACATGTGATCAACGCTTCACTGACATCCGGTACATTTCCCACCTCTCTCAAGCATGCTCAGGTTAAACCGCTGCTAAAAAAAACCCCATCTCTTCCTCCAAATCATGTGGAGAACTACCGACCTATCTCTCTCCGCCCTTTTCTGTCCAAAATCATTGAAAGGGTGGCTTTCAAGCAGATTACAGAATACCTCTCACAAAACTGTCTGCTTTACCCTTACCCATCTGGGTTCAAAAAGGGCCACTCCACTGAAACTGCTCTGTTAGCAGTGACGGAATCCTTAAAAGAAGCTACAACGACTGCCAAACCCTCAGAGCTTATCCTGCTCGACTTATCGGCTGCATTTGACACTGTCAACCATGGCTTCCTTTTGTCCACACTCTCTAGCACGGGCATCACAGAGAAAGCACACGCCTGGTTTGAATCGTACCTCACAGGATGATCATTCAGTGTATCTTGGCTTGGACAATCCTCCACCGTGCACCAACTTGACACAGGAGTCCCCCAGGGCTCTGTACTAGGACCTCTTCTCTTTGCCATACACGCCACCTCACTGGGTGAGATCATTCGATCACATGGCTTCTCCTACCACTGCTATGCAGACGACACCCAGCTCTATCTTAGAGCCCTGCACGGGCGTAAAATCTGAGCCCGTGTCTGGCCCGGCCCGAGGGGGTGGAGCCCCAGCCCGACCCGGTCCGAAAAGGTTTTCAGGATTCTCTGGCCCGACCCGAGCCCGACTTTTTTTTTTAAACTTTCATAATGTTTTAGCGTGATACAATGCTCAGCATTCTAATTATCTGTGAGAAGCGTTCAGCATAAAATAAATAGAAAAGAAAGAAAAACAGCATTCAACAGCTTTTTTTCTAACAGCTTTTTTTCTAACAGAGCGTATTTTTTGAGTGGCAGATGTAATTTACGGACACTATATTAATTGGATGCGTTTGTAAGTTTAATCTGCTCTGAAAATGCGCCCTTGTGCAATTAGGAAAAAAAAGCAGCATTCTAATTTTCTAATTGCAGAGCACATTTTCAGAGCGGCAGATTAAATGAACGCCCCCAATTATTATAGTGTTTGTAAATTTCTTCTGCCGCTCAGAAAATGCGCTCTCCAGTTAGAAAAAAACCCAGCAATGAATGCTGCATTTTTTTAACTGTAGAGCGAATTTATTCACAGATTAATAGAATGCTGCCATTTTCATGAGAATAAATGAATGGTTTCTGACATATCAAAGTGGACATAAAATGGCATATTAGAATAGGGGCACATGTTTCAATCAGCAGTTTGAGAATTCATTTATATGGGCGCATTTATAAACCATACTGAGCTAACTGGTGCCGGTGTGTGAGAAGCAGGCAGGTGCTGCTGCATTTGTGTTTCAGTTTTTTTTAATGAATTCGATTAAAAATAAAGGCGCCCGGCCCGTGTCCGAGGTAATTACACAGTCGTTGGCCCGAGGGCCGGGCCAACCCAAGGGCCTAGGGCTTCACTGCAGGGCTCTACTCTATCTGTCATTTCCACCAGACGACCACACTCTCTCTGCACGAATATCAAACTGTCTCTCTGACATATCAAAATGGATGAAATCCCACCATCTCCAACTCAACCTCTCTAAAACTGAACTACTCGTCATCCCAGCAAAACCATCCAAACAGCGCAATATCTCATTCCAAAATGACTTCCTATCTCTGGCTCCTTCAAAGGCAGTTCGAAATCTGTGTGTTGTGATTGATGAACACCTGACCTTTAAAGATCATGTTGCCTCTGTTGCTCGTTCATGCCGCTTTACGCTGTATAACATACGAAAGATCAGACCATACCTAACACAACATGCCACCCAGCTACTGGTGCAATCTACGGTCATCTCCCTCCTCGATTACTGCAATGCCCTTCTAACTGGTCTTCCAGGTTGTACTGTGAGACCTCTTCAAATGGTCCAGAACGCAGCGGTGCGTCTGGTCTTCAATCAGCCAAAAAGAGCACACGTCACCCCTCTGTTCATTGAGCTCCACTAGCTACCGCTAGCAGAACACATCAAATTCAAATTGCTAACACTAGCATACAGTCCGAGATGGTACGGCTCCCATCTACCTGAATCCTCTTGCAAAGGCTTACGTCTCGGCCCGGCCGCTCCGGTCATCACAGGATCGTCGGCTAGCAGTGCCTACACCACGCTCAGGACAATCCAGACTCTTCTCATGCATCGTTCCACAAATGTGGAATGACCTACCAAGCACTACAAGAACAGGGGCTTCCTTTTCGACTTTTACGAAACTCCTGAAGACCCTGCTCTTCAGAGAGCATCTTCTAAACTAGCACCCTCCCTGCACCCGTGCCCCCTCTACTGTCCTCTCCTTGTTCCCTCCTCTCCATGATTCATCATGCTGCCTCACTGCCACCTATGACTGACTGGAAATTGTTTGTTGTTGTTGTTGTTAGCCTCAAGGGCAACATGCAGATTATAACTTGTAAGTCGCTTTGGACAAAAGCGTCTGCTAAATACATAAACATAATGCCATGCTAAAACACGATTTGTGTTGTGATCAGCAATGAACAAAACTTCTACTAAAAATACAATCATTTATTCCAACAAAATCCATTGGCGCACTTAATTAATCACCTTTTTTACTGATGTGTTCTCGTGTTTTGGAACTACTTCCTTCAAACAGGTTTAAATGACTACAAGTGTCAAGCGATCAAACACCGTTGTAGTGATCTTACCCTCGTGGAAACGTATCCTCTGGTCAGCCTCGTTAACAAAGTGTTGGCGCGCCGTACACGCCACCTTAGGGAGGTCAAAGATTGTCACATTGCACTCTGGGTAGGCTGACGTGAAGTGCTTGGCTAATGCACCAGTACAGCCTGGACAGACAGAGATAATTACTTTTAGTTATGCAGCATACCCTTCAGTGACAAGGTAATGAGTCTTTTACATACAGCACACAACATAGAGGCGAACAGGTGCGTTCAAGCAGAAACCTCTTGTTTAATGACATGATTTATATTCACTTGAATTTTGTCACTTTGGGGTTTCAGTTCAGCCAACATTAATATTAGTAAAGCAGAGATAATTGAAGATAAGGAAAAGACACGTGAAATGAAAACATGATTTAACCCTCAACAATAGAACACAAAACCATGTGATCCATTTGAAAGTCTTCTTTCTTGCGGCGTTGTAATGTTTTAGAACAAAAGTGGAAACATGAAAAATTATATTGAAATATTTTACAGTTAATTTTTTTGCACTTTTTTGTTACTGAAAAACTCAGCTGCACAAATTTGAACAAATTAACCCAAAAAAATCCTTAATAAAAAATAGCTAAATTTTTAACTGACTAATTTCTTCTTTCCCTTCTTTATTTTCTTTTTGTAATATTTTAAATAAATTAAATCAGTTTAATTTATAAGACAGCTTTTGAAAATGCCGCAATCTCCAGTCTGACCACTAGATGGCACTTATGCTTACACTTTGCACCTTTAAGACTACATCCTGTGAATGTTGTCGTCTTCCTCCACTTATCCAGGTCCGGGTTGTGGGGGCAGCATCCCAACTATGGAGCTCCAGACCGTCCTCTCCCCAGCCACCTCAACCAGCTCCTCCGGCAGGACCCCAAGGCGTTCCCGGACCAGATTGGAGATGTAACCTCTCCAACGTGTCCTGGGTCGACCCGGGGGCCTCCTGCCAGCAGGACATGCCCGAAACACCTCCCCGGGGAGGCGTCCAGGAGGCATCCTGACCAGATGCCCAAACCACCTCAACTGGCTCCTTTCGATCCGGAGGAGCAGCGGTTCTACTCCGAGTCCCTCCCGAATGTCCGAGCTCCTCACCCTATCTCTAAGGCTGGGCCCGGCCACCCTACGGAGGAAACTCATTTCGGCCGCTTGTATACGCGATCTCGTTCTTTCTGTCATTACCCAAAGCTCATGACCATAGGTGAGGATTGGGACGTAGATCGACCGGTAAATCGAGAGCCTGGCTTTCTGGCTCAGCTCCCTCTTCACCACGACAGATCGGCTCAGCGTCCGCATCACTGCAGACGCCGAACCAATCTGCCTGTCGATCTCACGATCCCTCCTACCCTCACTCGTGAACAAGACCCCAAGATACTTAAACTCCTCTACTTGAGGTAGGACCTCTCCCCCGACCCGGAGTTGGCAAGCCACCCTTTTCCGGTCGAGAACCATGGTCTCAGATTTGGAGGTGCTGATCCTCATCCCAGCCGCTTCACACTCGGCCGCGAACCTACCCAGCAAGAGCTGAAGGTCAGAGCTGGATGAAGCTAGGAGGACCACATCATCTGCAAAAAGCAGAGACAAGATTCTCCTGCCACCAAACTCGACACACTCCACAACACGGCTGCGCCTAGAAACTCTGTCCATAAAGGTAATGAACAGAACCGGTGACAAAGGGCAGCCCTGGCGGAGTCCAACCCTCACCGGGAACAGGTCCGACTTACTACCGGCTATGCGGACCAAACTCACGCTCCTCTGGTAAAGGGACTGAATGGCCCTTAACAGAAAGCCACCCACCCTATACTCCTGGAGCGTCCCCCACAGGGTGCCCCTGGGGACACGGTCATAAGCCTTCTCCAAATCCACAAAACACATGTGGATTGGTTGGGCAAACTCCCATGCCCCCTCCATCACCCTTGCAAGGGTATAGAGCTGGTCCACAGTTCCACGGCCAGGACGAAAACCACATTGCTCCTCCTCAATCTGAGATTCAACTATCGATCGGACCCTCCTCTCCAGTACCTTGGAGTAGACCTTTCCAGGGAGGCTGAGGAGTGTGATCCCCCTATAACTGGAACACACCCTCAGGTCACCCTTCTTAAAGATGGGGACCACCACTCCGGTCTGCCACTCCACAGGAACTGCACCCGATGACCACGCAATGTTGCAGAGACGTGTCAACCATGACAGCCCTACAACATCCATAGCCTTGAGATACCCAGGATGAACCCCATCCGCCCCCGGGGCTCCACCGCTGTGTAGTTGTTTGACTACCTCAGCAACTTCTGCCCCCGAGATTGGACAGTCCATCCCCAGGTCTCCCGGCTCTGGTTCCTCCTCGGAATGCGCGTAGGTGGGATTGAGGAGCTCCTCAAAGTATTCCTTCCACCATCACACTATAGCCCCAGTTGACGTCAGCAGCCCCCCATCCCCACTGTAAACAGTGTGAGTGAGTTGCTGCCTTCCTCTCCTGAGGCGCCGGACAGTTTGCCAGAACTTCTTTGGCGCCGATCGATAGTCTTTCTCCATGGCCTCACCAAACTCCTCCCACGCCTGAGATTTTGCCTCAGCAACTGCCACTGCTGCACCCCGCTTGGATATCCAGTACCTGTCTGCTGCCTCCGGAGACCCACAGACCAGCCACGCCCTGTTGTCATGGTCTGCGTCTGTCTTCCCCATGTGTCTCCTGGTGTCCTCCATCCCTCTCTAGATTCCCTCTTGTGTCTCTTTGTTCCCCAGCTCCTCTTGTGCTCCACTCCATGTTCTCCCCTTGTGTTGTAGCCCTTTAGCGCCCTCATGTGTCCTTGTCTGTATCCCTGTTGTGTGTCTTATGCTGTAGCTCTTTGGCGCCCTCATGTGTCCTTTTTCTGCGTGTCAGTTTAGTGTCTTATGTTTATAGTCCTTTAAGTCTAGTCCTCCCAGGTTTTGTGTCATCTCATTCTTCCCCAGGTCCTCCAGGTCTCGTTTACATTCTGTGTCCTTGTAGTCCCCAGCTTCCTTGTCCCCAGCTCAACGTGTGTGTGTGAGATCCAGTCTCCTGCTCAGTTTGTGTGTTTGTGTGTGTGTGTGTGTGTTGTTCTGTGTGTGTGTGTGCTTGTCCATTCCCCTTTCCCGTTTATATATTAGTGCCTTGGTGTGTGTGTATTAGTCCTTCCCGCAGCCTTTAGATTTAGTTTTGGTGTCTTAGAGTTTCTTAGGTTTATTTGGCCCTCCTCTGTTTCTGTTTGCCCATTTTGATTATTAGGTTCACCTGTCTTCCCTCCAGCTCTCACTTCACACACCTGCTCCCATTTTCCCTAATCACTTCTCCCAGCGTATTTAAGCCCTGTCTGTCTCTGTGTTCTTGTCGGTCCATTGAATGTTTGTTATTCTGTCAGTCTCGTCTCGTTTGGATTACCAGTGTTCTTTGCCCCTTGGACTTTCTAGAGTTTTTGATCTCCAGAGCTTATCTGGAATTTTGGACTTCTGGCTCGCTGCCTGGATTTACTTTTGTTCCGCCTTCAAAATAAAGAATTTTACTTTTTCATCATCTCTGCCTCGTGTCATCCTGGGTAACTGCATATTTGGGTCCTAACATCCTCAGAACGTGACAGAATGGACCGACCAGAACAGGACCCAGCAGGAACTCCAGGTACACAGGAGATGTTCTATTATGACGGTGATCCAGACCTTTGTATGGGTTTCATTCGGGACTGTGCCCGTTGTTTGGACTTGGAATCTTCAGAGTTCAACAAGGTGTCGTATATGGTGCTCTGGTTGAGGGGTAAAGCCATGCGGTGGGTTGCTGACCGGTTCGACATAGAGGATCTTAAGGCTGTGTCTTTTTGGGACTTTGCTGCATTGCTCCTCCGCACTTTTGGCCGAGATCCTCCTCCACCAGTCGCTGATGCCACCTCAGCATCTCAGATGGGTCACACCGCCACACCCTCACCAGGTCCTGACAGGGCCACCACTTCCTCTCCGATGTGTCACACCGCCACACCCTCACCTGATCCGGACTGCATCAACTCCCCATCTCAGACCATCAGAACCGGATTCATTTCAATCTCTCCTATGCATGTTGATGCCACCTCAGTTTCTCAGATGGAGTACACCACCACACCCTCACCAGGTTCTGACAGCGCCACCACTTCATCTCCGGTGGGCTGTATCACTTCCTCCGCACCTGTTGAAGTCACCCCCGCACCTCCTAGGAGTCGTGCTCATCGTAGACGACAACGCCATCACCAGCACTCTACTGAGGCCAGAGTGGAGCCGCCTATCTCAGAGGCCCCTACTCGGAGACCTGCGTCTGAGTCACACCTCACCTCAGCGGTGGTCCAAGGGAACGCATCGCACCTCGCCTCAGCGGTGGTCCAAGGGGACGCATCGCACCTCGCCTCAGCGGTGGTCCAAGGGGACGCATCGCACCTCGCCTCAGCGGTGGTCCAAGGGGACGCATCGCACCTCGCCTCAGCGGTGGTCCAAGGGGACGCATCGCACCTCGCCTCAGCGGTGGTCCAGGTGGACGCATCGCACCTCGCCTCAGCGGTGGTCCAGGTGGACGCATCGCACCTCGCCTCAGCGGTGGTCCAGGTGGACGCATCGCACCTCGCCTCAGCGGTGGTCCAGGTGGACGCATCGCACCTCGCCTCAGCGGTGGTCCAGGTGGACGCATCGCACCTCGCCTCAGCGGTGGTCCAGAAGCGGACGCCACCCGGCTCGAGCCCCGAAGCAGACGTACCTGGCTCGAGCCCCGAAGCAGACGTACCTGGCTCGAGCCCCGAAGCAGACGTACCCGGCTCGAGCCCCGAAGCAGACGTACCCGGCTCGAGCCCCGAAGCAGACGTACCCGGCTCGAGCCCCGAAGCAGACGTACCCGGCTCGAGCCCCGAAGCAGACGTACCCGGCTCGAGCCCCGAAGCAGACGTACCCGGCTCGAGCCCCGAAGCAGACGTACCCGGCTCGAGCCCCGAAGCAGACGTACCCGGCTCGAGCCCCGAAGCAGACGTACCCGGCTCGAGCCCCGAAGCAGACGTACCCGGCTCGAGCCCCGAAGCAGACGTACCCGGCTCGAGCCCCGAAGCAGACGTACCCGGCTCGAGCCCCGAAGCAGACGTACCCGGCTCGAGCCCCGAAGCAGACGCTCC